ATTATATATGCGAAATTCTAATATTAACCCTTAAATGATATCGGCGAACGCTCAGAAACTGCGGTGGCCTTCGTAAATGTGCCAATAAACGCTAGAACGGAGCTTTACCTACCCTAATAGTTTGTGTATCACTTAATAGGAGCACAGGAGGTTCTACGGACAATATATTCTATAGATATCCTCAATAATTGTACAACCATAAGGTCACCGAACACGTCAATTACCTTCAGTCTAACAAAAATCCATCCTCTTCGTATCAGAACATTCTTAAATTCCTATTTTCATTTCGATTCATTGAAACACTTTCCTGCTTTAAATACAAAATTCGTATCGATTTCAAATTACAATTTTCACTTAGCGAAATCAATGAACCAAGTATTAATCACTTCAGCTTCTTCTTCGCCGAGCAAAATGCGGCACGCGGAAAGCTTAGAATCGAAGATGATCCCGAGGCTTAGGCTCGAAAGCTGAGATGACTCTATAGCTTAAGCTTGAAAGGTGAAATGACCCACACCGTAATCCCAAAACCCGAGATGATTAGGTCCCGACCGAGCTCATCGATGATCCATTTCTTGACCATACGGAAAATGTCTAAAATACACGAACGACCTTGAACATTACTAATATACTATATTAACAATCCAACTCGCAAACGCAACGCGTAAAAATTCCAACCCTGGTCAAAACCGACCCGGCCGTCGCATGCAACGGCGACATAAAAAGAAAATCAGGTCAGCGTCGTGTGATACCGCCTATCAGTATTTCCCTCGGAACGAGTGCCCACTAAAATCGTCCATAAAAGCGTCGTATTTTTTCTAATAACAAACTAAAAGAAACATAAACTTTATAAGCTCGACTCCCTTCGTCAGAGGAATTGCCCCATAAAAGAGGGCGTACTCTCCTTTTACGGGTAATAACGTACTTCCCGGTATGACTTTTAGGTATAAAGAAATTCGATTATTCCCCGTTGAGTTTTCAATTCGCGGCTCCCGTCGGCCCGTCCTCTCGGAAAACGGCGGAAGCGCGAAACAAGCGGGGAAAGGGTTCAGCGGGCTCGAATTAAATCCACGTTAGCCGAGCCTACACTTTAAGACGGTATTTACGAGCGATTCCATCATCGCCGAAGTCTAACGACGACGTTAGATTTAACGATGCTTTACGATAGTTAGATGAAATCCTGTAAAATCTCCGGACCGCGGGAACTGTGGGCGGAATGCGGGATCCACGGGTCGTTGATGTATAGACCCGGCCGCGGAGCATTAACGTTTCCACGCCGCCCCGAAATCGGTTACATTCCATTAATCCTGATAACGTTCATCATCGTTAGTTCGAACTAAGCGCGTCCGCGTATCCTGCGTTCGAAGTTTCCGGGAGTCACGTTGAACAATGGAAAATATCGAGAAGAATACGGGGGAATGAATGGAACGAAGTTAATCGGCGATGATTGTTCGAAAGTAAAATAGCTAATGATCGTGGTAGGAATATAAATTAATAAACGACGATTGGAATGAAAGTAACCGACGACGAGGGAAACTGAATAACGGATAACGGTTGCTATAATGATTTCGTTGGTTGAATACCTCCAGATGGAAACTGTGTAATGTGAAATTTATTATTTGGATGTTAATGAGATGGCTTTATACATATTTCTATTCGAGAAAGGAAAGTATGTGTATACCTTCCGCTGGTTCAGATTCCGCTGACTCCATTCCTTAGGTAACTGATTTAAACAGCCATTACTAGTCGACAGAGATATGTTCATATACCCTCGGATCTCTAAGAAATTCATTAAGTAAGGAATACAGTATTCAGCGAGAGTTCCTCGGAGCAATTTAATATTTGCGTCGCTAATTGTTAATTTCTCACTGCTCCGTTCCCGCGCTTCGACGCGGAGCGTATTTCTATTTTAAATATCCGCCGGGTTCAACGGAGTTAGACGTCATTCGGAATGGTTTCCAGCGAATGTTCACTTAAAATATCTAGTCCAATAAATTCTTAATACTCTAACGTTCAATCTACGATAAATACTTATTCGAATACTTCTCACGAGTTATTAAGCGAAAAAATTCAAACTTAAATATAGCAGAAGGTGAAACATACAAATGAATCAAGAAAATATATATTTTAAAAGTACTTAAAATATTTCAAAATTATATATATATTAATTTATATTAATTATATAAATATTTAAAAATTATATATTTTGAAAATATTTAAAGTATATAATTTCTTGATCCATTTGTATGTTTCGCCTTCTGCTATATTTCAGTCCCAATTTTTTTGCTTAATAATTCGTGAGAAGTGAAGAATGAAAACTGAAAAATATCATTCCTATCTCTTCACTTCTATTCTAATTTATCTTATTGCTATCAAAAGCGACAATAGAAAGATATTCCAAATTATTTTCCAGTATATTTGCACCTTACTCCATCGTCCACCAAAATGCCTCTATCCACCATTCAACACTCCACGCGAATTATTTCCGAAGCGAAAATCGACGTAGAAATATTTTAAAAAAATCGGAAATCGTGTCGTCGAATTTGTACGAGTTCAGAGAAAAATCACGTAGTGGACAGTGCTATCGAAACGGATACTCGGATACCCGGCTGGCAGCATAAAAGGGTTGATGCTCGTCGTAATTTCGGTCGGAAAGTGGCTCGGCGCGTCCGCGAAATGTGCCGCCGAGCCATTTCAATCGTCGCCGGCATCCGAATGCCGGAACGTCTGTCCGCGGTCACTACGTCGGATAACGCACTCCATTTCACCGGACTCCGGTATTCGGCCGACCTAATGAAATATTTCTGTCGGCGCCGTTACACGCGGTTACGCTCCCACCCCTCGCGCCGCCGGTTTTCTTTCTCTATCAGCGTGGCTAACTGTATCCCGAGGATCGCAATAAAACGATGAAACTGTCAACCGGTCGCACCGCCTTCCCATGACCTCGTGGGACACGCCGTCGTGCCAACCGCTGATTAGTCGTGCGCTCCGTGTAATAGTTACCGCTGAAATTAATTTAGCTGTGCCGCGCGTCTCTGACGCAATGCACACCGGGTGGAGAAAAGTACTCGCGCGAGTTCGCCTCGCGATCGCCGATGATCCTCGGCTTCGTTGTACGTTGAACCGAGTGGAAAAGTTCAGTGGACTCGTTATGAAAGATCTGAGCTTGCAAACGCGTCGTTTGATCTATTACGCGTAATACGGCAAATCTGGTGGCATAGAATGTAAATAGTATATGCTTGGCAAGTTGTATACGTGTAATTGTTACCTTGAAGTTAGAATTAAGTATTAATAATATGAATTTGAGAGATTGAATACATGTATCGAACTAATGCAGTTATAGCTAAGTAATTATATCTGTTTCATCAGTTTAATTTTATTCTACAAACTCAACTTCGGAATATAAGATCTTTCTTGGTTACGGATCAATAGACCTTATTTTATCAATTCCAAATTCCATCGAAAAATACAGAAGCTTTAATCCTTTGCACTCGAGATGCGACTCTCGATCACCAAATCGATGTAGTAAAATTATAAGATCTATGTAACGTTAAGTTTCGTGTAACATATCGAACGTAAAATATTGAAACAAAATAGCTTTGATTCTTAATTTACGTACGTTTTCTTATTAGTTCGTTTCAAAGAGTGTCGTTTACATTGCATTGAGGAATACTGAATATTCGTAGCGGAGGACTTTCCAGTGAAAAGGGTTGCTCTTCGTCCATTACATTCCAGGTACGCTCGAGCACCCTAAATCTCTAAAGTCCTCGATAAACGCGCAGCGAGAAAGCAAAAAATCCAATTCCCCGGTAAACCGTATCGTCGAACCAATCGACTAGAGTCGCGAATCGCCTGGTATCCGGTCCGGGGACACGGATAAGCGCGTATCTCGAAGCTGCGCCGATCGTGTGTCACGGGGCGAACGTCAGCTGGCGAACGATCGCTCGCGCGCCGCGCCGCGTCTCGTTTTTATTCGTCGCTCGGTATCGGCGCGTCCGCGTGCTGGTAATTGCCGGCTTATTTCGGCCCCGACGATTTCAATCGGCGGGTCGGTGAGTTATATCGGTAAATTTCAATCAAAGTATCGGCCCCGTCGCAATTTAACGCGGCGGCGCGTCTAGCCCCGAGGACGCGCGGTAAAAGCGGGAGAGCACCGGTCGACCGGTTGCGCTTTCATGGAGATTAATTGAAATATATTCAGATTGTAACGCGCGTACGTCCGTCTGGGAGCGTGTTACCCAGTGATTTATACCGGGAATAAATTTTCGTTACGGCGACGTGTCGATAAAAGACGCGCCGATTTCGGGCTCGCCGGAGCCTTCCCTCGGACCCGATCGATTCGGCCTTTGAACAATAGCGATTGGAAGATCGGTGAACGGTAATCGATATTGAAACCGACACAGAGAGAAATTAGGGTAACGCGCGACGCGAGGTTTCGAGTTATTCTCGAACGATACGCGATGCTTCTAATTTCCTAATTTCCGCGGTCCGAATGTGTGCATTCTAAACGGAAGGCTCGCGTTTTAAGGGAAACGTGCATTGTTCGACGCGCTGATGGAACGGGAGAAAATAAAAACCGGTTGAGGAACGCATTAGAAATTGGAGTTACCCAACCGTAACACTTTTCTCTATCTTATCGTGTGTCTGTACACAGCAACAAAATGTTCGCTTCTAAAGCATGCGCTGTCTTCCTGTACCTCGGCGAGAACAGCGAACGTAAGCGGTTGAATTATTCATGTGTTATTACTTGTATCACTGATTTCGATATCGAAGGAAGATCGGTACCCATGAAGTAATTTACGATCACCAAGGAAACACATCAACACCCATGGGGCTCTATCAGACAGAAACATCGATACAGAACAAAAACAAATATTCAACTCCAAGTTCAAATTAACAAATGAATGAGCCCCAAAAAACGCGTCATCTTGTATGCTAAAGTGTTCAAGTAACATTGACGTATCATCAAAAAGTAAAGCGAACAAAGAGTTTCCAGGACTCACCACACGGAGAACCGTCTTCGCGGAAAGGCCGGCGGCGGCGGCGGTTGCGCGCGATGGCTTCTATCGACGGACTCGCTTCTCAGGGCCTGGACAGCCTTCGGGACGGCCCGGAACGGTTCCTGCGGACCCCTGGCGATCATGCCGGAGGGCAGATTCCCGTTTCCGACGGTGTCGTTGAAGTTGCTCGCGCCGCCGCCGCTTCCGCCGCCGTGGAAGCTATTCCATCTCCGGACGGGACCTCGGTTGGCGACATGCTGCCCGGTCCCGGGGCCGCCGGGCCCACGCAGCTGGCTGGTGTGCTTGTGCATCCTAGCGCCTCAGCCCTCGGTGATCCGCCAGGACTCGAGCCACACCTCCCTCGCCGCCATCATTTTCCCTCCCCTTGTCCTCTGCACTCTTCTTTTCCCAGCCGTTCGCTCTATTTCGTCATTTGCGCCGCTAGATCCGAAGCTGCATCCCCCGGATCCCCTTTACCTCTGTCTCTGCCAAGTGACTCTAGCTTCTTCGATCTAGGACCGTTCGTTACGACGCTCCTCCGGGGCTCCTCTAGAGGACGGTTCAAGCCGACATTTGGCGCTGAGCTGGATTCTGTTGAAACGAGTTCGAATTTACGGGTTATGGCTACTGTTCGCTCAGCAGGATCCGTGGACCAGGCTACGTCTTCCCTCATCGATCTACGCTTGCGACGGAGGTTCGCCGGGTTGATGGCTTCTTGATGGAATTCGATAGAGCGCTGGAGGGACGTGCTTTTCGCGGAAACTGAGAACTTCCGATCGCGTTCGCGAATCGGTAGCGTAGTTGTCGTTTGGTATTCGCAGAAAACTGGGACTTGTGTACTTGAGATTTATTTTTATCGTTGCAGATGTTTTAGAGTAATTTGGAAATTTAAACGAGAGGACGTTCGAGGAAGTTTGATATGTCCGAGGGATTTAATATTCTTTATGTTCGTTACTTAACTAATTCGTATCGTCTACATAGTAGATTTACGAACTTTCAATGGAAACCCCTCGCCCTCGATGTATTCGGAAAATAAAACACTGTTCCTGAATGCGCACACGAAATAAGGCGATCTGTCTAGCGAAGATTTATCCACGTATTTCTTGGCCACCCTATATACCGTCGCAGCGGGAGGAATAACAGGGGGCTCGAGAATTCTCACTCGGCCTCGATCGCGATTACATCGAACTACAAATGCGTCCGCTTCCGTGTAGCCGTCGCATAACGGAAGTCATTGTGAGCGGGAGGGAAGGTTCGCAGCCAAGTTCTCGCGAGACGACGGCGAACGACGGCGAACGACAACGACGTCGACGACGAGCCGCGCACAAAGCCGCCCGCCGACTCTTCCCCGCTGTCGAGAATCCCTCGAACGAATACGACGCGACTTGATTACGTGACTAATCTCTGTATTCGTAGCATCGCGCGCAGCCGTAGACAGAGTTGGCCAAGATGTCTATAATTTGATTACATAACGATCGGAACGCGACTTTTCATTCCATCGCGAGTCGCTATAAATGGCGAGTCGCTATAATCGTGCGAGCTCTCTATAGTCGACTCGTTTAATAGCCAAAGCGATCAACTTCCCTTTTTATATGTTTTCAAATTGTAATACACGAATGTTTAACATTACCTGTGTAGCAAATTTGAAAAATTCATCTTTCGCTGATCACTCTGGTAGATAAGTGCAATTATTAATTAGAACTCACCGTGATAACTTGAATATCAATTATAGATCAGTAACAAGCCGTTTTCCAAACTGATCAACTATAAACGAAGAGTGAATTTGATACAGTTATTCAAGCACTAATCGAGTTCGATGTAAGGTTTAGAAATTTTCGGAAAGAGATAGTTCGACCTGTGAACGATTCGATCGACGATTACGGAATATGATTTGTTGAATCAATTGTTGCACTCGGAATATCGTCGGTACCACGTGAACAGATTACGTTTTACCGAACCCTGGCCGCGGGTGCTCGCTGCATCGCGAATAACGACGCCCGACGCACCGCCATTGGCGCGCTTATCAATTTTGACCGTTTGCACACGACGCCGCTCCACGATAACGACGCAGAAGGGCGGCGATAAAATCCGAGACAGCCATAAAGGAATCGAGTGTCGGCGGATGGAACCGTCACCCCAGCTACGACGATAAGTCCTTTGATCCGTCTCGCGATTTCTAGCTCGCGCAACGATAAACAGGACGATCGTTTTCTGATAATGTCCCGGTGAAATTGCGCCGCGAACCGATCGACCGTGATCACGATTCCCGTTGGCCGAGGGAAGGCCACGGACGGTGTTGGTATTTTCGAAACGGTGTATTGTAACGTCCGCGGAGCATAAAAATGAAGCACTGTGGTTTGAACATTTGAGAAACGGAGATACGCGGAAGATTGCGAGAGGAAATTTTCTGAATTTTGGGGATGGAAATATTTAGGGTGACTGGAGATGGAGAAGTATTGATCGAAGCTTTACGTGTAGTTGAACAATTTGGAAAGTTAGATAACGGTAAAATTTGTTTGATGTTAAGGTGAATAGATGGAGGATTTGTGAACTCGGAGGATAAAAGAGATTGAAGGGAAAGATTTTATTACAGATTCGTGTATCGAAACGTTGATTTTAAGAACACTTTGAATTGCACGAAATTCTGCTTTCTTCTAAATTACCTTGCGGATGTTAATGAAACGGATTTCTAAAAACTTGCGTGTGAAGGATTTTCCTGTCGGAGAAGCGTTAATGAGTGCGAGAAGAATTTGCTTATCTAGACTCGATAGGGAACGCTGAATAAAAAATAAGGAAAGTTAATGATTAAAACGGTTGCGTAGAATTCTCGAGTTTCCCATTTTGTTCCCAACATTAAATTTATTCGCTTTGATATTATGTACGGCGGTTTCATAATTACGTGAACATCGTCGAGAAACTTATTAACGTTCTCCCCCTTTGCAAGGGAAATTTTCTTAGAACGCAAATTTTATCTGAATCTCATTCAGCGGGAGAGACGTTCAAAACGGAATCGAACCTGAATATTTCCAAGCAGATGAAACTGCGCACAATGTTGGAGATTAACTGTTTTCTTGTAACTGGTTTCGCGGTTTTCCGGTTAGAGATACCAGGAACTGAAATTCTTTAACACTTCAATGATCTCACGTTGTATGTGCTGGCTTTCCTCTAAGACTGCTAATTTTCCCATTAGAAAATGACGAACGGGCAAGGCCAATGCAGAACTTTAAGCAATACTTCTTAAAATAACTTACTAATTTTCCTCTTATATTTTTAAGTAATTCAATGATGAACAAGTTTCTAATTTCTACCACATAGTAGATACATTTATAAACCAAAAGGAAAGCAAAACGAATAAAGATCTATAGAAAGTCATCGATCAATCTTTCGACTGTTAACAGTTTGAACTACCAGGTAACTGTGCAGCAACGAAATAGTCGACAGAGAAGAAAAAACGAGTTAAAAAAATCTGAGAACCCCGAGCTATCGCGATCCCCAAAATTTTTTTCAACCTGCCCTTCCTTCGATTCCTTTCGAACCTATCCCTTTCTATTCTTCTATAGTTCAGCCCAAGGTCGCTGCGGATGTTTCGAAGGTTTCCACCTCGCCAGCGATTTGTCACGGCTTGTCAGCCAATTCCGGAGCAATGAGTAGCGAGATGTTCAAGAAACAACTGAAACCACGTACAAATAGCTTAACGTACACCTCAAAGAATTCTAATAAACCCCACAACATCTTCGAAACAATCACCCAATTGATCATCGTTATACCACTCGCAGTACCTGCCACTAAACTGAACAATAATCTTACAAAAAGAGAAAAGATATCGAAGCTAGCAACCACTGGCTACGGAATAACAATTGACGCACGGCGTCAACGGTCTTCAACGCGTTAACACGCCTCACAATTGTAGAACCAAAGCTGAAGATCAGTACGAGACACCCTCGCGAGCGTGCAGGCTTGATCCTCGAGCGAGAAAAGGGAGCGGAAAAGCTCGGGAAAAGGGGTAGACGGGAAACCGTGGTCGTTGCGACGTCGCACGTGTCTCTAGGATCTCACGTCTGGCCTGGCGAAGCAGAAATCCGAAAGACACAGAGATTACCCGGGGATACACTGCGGAAAAGTCTTAGTAACGGAGCACGGTGAAGTGCATAAGAGGTCCCCGAGGAGGAATAGGTTTAAGGAGGGAGGGGAAGCGGGGCGGGTCCTTCCCAGCCGGTGTATAGAAATGCAGTGAGCTTGCAAAACCTCTTGAACACGCGCTCGAGAAGCGGCTCGTCTTCCTCTCGTCGTCGCAACGGAGAAACTGTACGACGCCGGAGAGACGAAAGTCCCTTTTGTGCCGGCGTCCCGACAAATTGACCGGGGATGAAATAAAAATGTACCTTTTGACTTTCTCCTGGCCATTCCGCCGTTTTCGGGCGTTTCGCGCTAACATTTCGAGCGGAGCATCGGATCCGGGGAGGTCGTGCTATTGAAAAGACAGTGGGAAATAGAATTCCATTCTCGAGAGAAACTCAGCGGTAATTTCGATTTTTTTTCGGCGAGGAAATCTGATCGAAGGACTGTAAGTTCTTCAACCCTTTGAACTCTGTAGGAATATTGCACCAGAAATAATATTAGATATTTTAACGAATCTTAAAGAAACTACCCTACAGTTATTAAATTTTTCATCTAAATTTTGCACTAAGGAAAATAAAAGATCTAAGAAATGTTATAGCATGTTTCATTTTCGCTAGGGATACCATAAAAATTAGTTGCAGTTGCTGATAGATTACAAAACCATCTGGAGTGATAAGGGTTAATATTGGAACGTGCATCGCGTTTGTTATATTTCACTGAAAGACACGAGACGGGACTCGTGAATAGAATTCCGAACGATTTTCGTATCACGTCTATTAAAACTCCGTCAAGGAAGAAAGTTGGAAGAGGACCTCCTTCGGAGGACTGTCGGCGAAAATTAGAAGCTCCGACTGCGCGAATTAGCGGAAGCAGTCTCCCGCAATCAGAATTCCTCCCTCAACAAGTGCAAAATGCAAACCGCCCTTCGTTAACTTTCCCTTTTTGCATAAGAAGCGGCAGCCGAGCGATTCTCCCCGCAGTCTGAACGGTTCTTGCAAACGAAGTCCCGAAAAACCGAGTCGGAAGTCGATTCAGCCGGGTGCCGGGGAAATTTCAACGTGGCTCCGGCCGGCCGGCCGGTTTTTATCGGAGCCCCGTTAGCAGTTGTTTCAACAATCTCGCGCGGAGGTGAAGTGTTTGCGAACGTGTCTACGTAAACCCGGCCGGCAAAAGTTCCACAGACAGCTCGGGGACGGGCTGTCGTCGACGTCATTGCGACGGGGAAACCGGCAGAGGGAAACCTGCAGGAAATTTCCAACGACTCTACCTGGAATGGTACCGGGGACGCGATTACGCAGGTGCAACCTGTCACTGAGATTTCCAGGGTACAACGAGGGTCCTTTAAGGTTCCTTAAACTCGGAACATTCTCTGGATAAAATATATAACTCTGTACAACAGGTAAGCGAGAAAGTAAATGGAAGGAAATGTTTAAACCGGAGAGTGAGTTAATACCTTTTAACCTTCAAAGAAT